GGCCTGGGAAGTTTCACATGTGTTCTTAAAGTGAACATGATGATTTGAACCTCTTGATTTGCATGGTTTTGTAGGGGTTTTTTGGGTCAAGTGAATAGAAAACCATTCTCAGAGGTCACCTCAGGCTGCATCTGGGAAGAGGAAGATCTCCTTCTCTTTAGCCTAAAGTGACCTTACTAATGAAATATTAATTATTATTACTGTTAACTTATTAATGAACTTAGTTTGTCTTGTGTTAGGAAATAAATTATTTTTACTTCTGTACTGTATGTCATCCAAAATCTTTGTTCTTTTTAAAATAGCACAATATTGGGGCGCTTGGGTGGCTCAGTCGGTTAAGCATCCGACTTCAGCTCAGGTCACGATCGCACGGTCCGTGAGTTCGAGCCCCGCGTCGAGCTGTGGGCTGATGGCTCGGAGCCTGGCGCCTGCTTCCGATTCTGTGTCTCCCTCTCTCTCTGCCCCTCCCCCGTTCATGCTCTGTCTCTCTCTGTCCCAAAAATAAATAAACGTTAAAAGAAAAAATTAAAAAAAAAAAATAGCACAATATTATGATGAATTTAAGACTAAAATCATCTAGAAATGTTTGAAATAATGTTCTTGGTTCCAAATTAAACAATTTAGAATTTGTTTGGTTATATTGTATTGAAAATATAGCTTTTTAAGAATAAAGATTTCCTTTTAAAATACATTAGCACAGCTTAATTTTATTTTTTTATTTTTATTAAAAAAATTTTTTTTAAATGTTTTTATTTATTTTTGAAAGAGAGAGACAGAGCATGAGTCGGGGAGGAGCAGAGAGAGAGGGAGACACAGAATTCGAAGCAGGCTCCAGGCTCTGAGCTGTCAGCATAGAGCCCGATGTGGGGCTCGAACTCACAAACTGTGAGATCATGACCTGAGCTGAAGCCGGACACTCAACCGACTGAGCCACCCAGGCGCCCCGAGCACAGCTTAATTTTAAAATGTTTGTATTTTTGGTCTATTGAATATGGGCTTTTAGTTCTACTACTGAATTCATTTACTCAATCAAATTCTGTTACACGATTCAAGTTTAAAAATAAGAATTACATATTATAATCAAGTTCAGGCATTACTCTTTAAATCCAGGGCATTTTAAAAGTATAAGACATGATAAAAATAAAGTACTACCTTTGAAAGTTTAGTTATTTGCAAGGAATTGTCAGAGCTGATGATTGAAAAAGGATTTTCCATTTGCAGTGAAGAAATTGCTACTCAACAGACTGGCTGTATTTCCTTGGGTATAGTTTTTCCCCCACTCTAGCATGTCGGATTTTTGCCAGCATCAAGATGCTCTGTACACTTCGTATCTTTTCCCCTTTGTTTATTCTGTGCCCATTGCTTGATAAACCATTTCTTCTTTCCTCTGCTGATAAAATTCTAGTAATCTTTCAAGGTCTGACTTAACTGTCACCATCTCTGTGATACTTTTCCAACCCTTCTTAGTAGAATTAATCTTTTATCTGTGCTCTCAGTAGTTTATTCTTATCACTCTTAGAGACTGACCACATAAAATTACTGTAAACTGTTGGTATTTATGGGTTTATTATTCAGAGTTGCAGCTACTTGCAAGTGACCCCGAAGATCTATGTCATTAATATCGTTTGGATGACATAACTTCAACTCATGTGTGTTTGATATTATAGGAATTGCTAAGCTACAGAGTTCAGCTGTTTGCTCAGGCTTTATGTCTCCATATTGTGTTGTTTTCTTACTGGCATTACACACAGATAACTTTCTTGAGGTGATCACAAACTGCATTTCTTTGTAAAAGATGCCCTTTAATAGAAATCCCGCTGCTAATGCTTGTGATAAAAATGTTGATAAAGTAAAGAAGCTTTATAAAGTATGCCCCAATGTAGGATTTGGGGATACATTTTTCTTCCCAGTTTTACTGAAGAAATAATTGATATATGTCACTGTATAAGTTTAAGGCATATAGCATGATGGCTTGCTTTATATTGGGAATAAACAGTAACTCTAGTAAAATGAGTTTTGGAGTGGCTCAGAGCAGCAAAGAAAACATGTTTTTCATCTCTTAACTAGGAAACAAGAAAAAGTGATACCTTGGGCTATTTTCAGTGAGTGCTCTAATCAGTGCAAAATCTGTTTCTCAAATGGGAGGTGAAATTGTAGTGACATTTGGAAATAGCTTATGGCATGAAGATTCATAGGAAAATGAGTGTCATGATTTATGGAAAAGCTAGGGGCCTATGCACAGTTGGTTTTGCTTTTAAAAAAATAATGTGTTATAATTTGTATATCATGAAAGTCACCTTTTTACAGTTTACAACTCCATGGTTTTTAGTACATCCACAAAGTTGTGCAACCATCACCACTTTCTAATCCCAGAACATTTGTATCACCCCTAAAGAAACCCCATATACATAAGCAGTCACCACTATTTCTGCCCCTGGCAACCACTTATCTACCTCTGTGGACTTGTCTATTGTGGCTGATTTAGGTTTTAAATAGATGTTTGGATTGTAGGGGTATAGTAATAGAAATGAAACGAAGATAGCATACCATACTATCATAATAACCCAGGCATAGTACAGATTTATGGCTTCTATTTAACACTTTGTAAACAGTTCATTGAAGTATGTTGGTATAAAATATATTAGTAAATCTATAGTAAAGAATTTTAGCGGGTACCTGTGTGGCTCAGTCAGTTTAAGTGTCTCTTGATTTTGTCTCAGGTTGTAATCTCATGGTTCATAAGATGGAGCCCTGTGTCAGTCTCTGTGCTGACAGCGCGGAGCCTGCTTGGGGTTCTCTCTGTCCCTCTTTGCCCCTCCCCTGCTCACATGCACTCTTTCAAAATAAGTAAATAAACATTAAAAAAAAATTTTTTTGTTGATATTTTAAAATTCTTAGCATGGTATTTTGGGAGTATACAGCTAAATTGGTCCTAGTATAATAGGGTAGTGATTCAAGGCGAGCTTGTTAATGGGGCGGGGCGCCTGGGTGGCTCAGTCGGTTAAGAGTCCGACTTCAGCTCAGATCATGATCTCACGGTTTGTGGGTTCAAGCCCTGCATTGGGCTCTGGGCTGACAACTCAGAGCTTGGAGCCCACTTCGGATTCTGTGTCTCCCTCTGTCTGCCCCTCTGCTGATTGTACTCTGTCTCTCACAAATTGTCTCAAAAATAAATAAACATAAAAAAAAATAAAAAAAAAAACGAGCTTGTTAATGATAATGATAACCCAAATGACGTTCTTTCATGCTTAAACTTAAAGATCAAGTCAAAAAGGTAATATAAAACACATAACTATGTTTTTCTGCTCTTAAGCCAAAGGCCTGGTGACTTAGTTTCACAAGCTTAGCATCATTCGTGTCATCAGTATTAAAATTGTATTGGTTTTGTACTTTTGATTTGTAAATTTGTTTTGGTTTTATAGGTATTTAAAGAATGTAAGCATATGGACTTTATATCTAACTTATGCTTATATATCTTTAAGTTACATTTTAATAAGAATACTTTAAGTTAACTCTGCCAGGAAATAAGATTTTTTTCCTTTAAAAAAAGGTACATAAATAAGTTTGACAAATACTATTTTAGACATCTACAAACTCTGCTTTTTCAAGCTCAAGGTCAAGGCTATATATTTTTTTTTTTCTGTTAACCATGGTGTGGAATGTATGTCTCCATATCATAAATGCTTTGTATGAAGACTCCCAAATTTGATATTAACTAATCTTAGGAGAAAGACAACATTTCTGACTAGATAGTGAACTTTAGAGAATTGTTAGATCAGGCAAAATGTGAAATGGTCATTACCTACTGGAGAGCTCTAAGGAAGGATGCAGAGAATGACTTCAAGGGAATTCCTTCCACTGATAATACAGTGAAGTGCATTATGAATGTTGCTTTGTAAGTGGGTGATGAAGGTTTTGAGCATGTGGTTGAGGTAATGAGGGAGAGCTCATTGAAGGTCAGAGGGACTAGAGAAGTCAGTAAAAGAGTGGTAGTGAAGACCATGTTGATGCATTGGAATGGGCTAGCTGAGATGGTGTCCTTTATGGGAAGTGCTAATTGGCACCTTTCCCACTTTGGACCAGAACTTGAAAATTTCCCATATAATAAATGTTTGCAGAGGTTACCTAGAAAGGCAAAAGATTTGCAAAGGAAAAATAAAAACTAGGCAACACAGTGTTCTTAATGGTACCCATACCTAATGAGTGCCTCCCCTGCGGTTCTTCAGCATTCTTCCATAGCTGTTTCCCCCTCATCTGTCACCTGTTTCTTCTGCCAAGAGTGATGCCAACAACCTGTCAGATGGTTCAGAACTACTGCTGCCTGACTATCCTGCTTTCTAGGTGTCATCACCTCCATACACGTGGTACCTGGGCTGCATAGCAGCAATCACCACTGCTCATTATTGTGGCTTTGATTTCTTCCATGGTTAAGGTGACCATGTGGTGCTTATTTTATTGCTAGTTTATTTGAATAATCTTACAAATAACTTTTCCTGTATTTACAAAGGTAATAGAGATCTCAAGATGCCATTAAAATTTTGCAGGAGCACTTCATTTTATAGGGAAAATATATGCCGAGTAGACTTCATTGTTTGGGAATTCATAAAAATCTCCAGATGAGTCAGTCCCTCATGCATATCAAGGGATTGTTTGTTACAGAATATATTTCTGTCTTATGTGCTCTTGTGGGACCCTTTAGGGTGGAATCCTTGTCTTGTTAACGTCAAATCGTTAAATGCTTTGTGTTCTTCTGTAAAACATTCTTTCACTGTCTCTTAGTCTCAGGCCACAGGTAAAAAAAAATTAAACTGCTTTTTTCAGATGTAATATTAAAGTACTTTGTAAAATGTTTGTTTATGGATTATATAGTCAGTATATGTAAAATAAAATATGTAGAGCGTGGAGTGGGAGGACATCCATACCACACTGGATAACCCCGTGACGATCCTGTGTGGGGTGCACATATGAGTGTTCCTAAAAGTCAGCTGTGCTTTCTGCAGATACACTGAGGAGATGGTACCCTGGCACCCTTGCCTGCAACTCATTAGCAACTGTGAGCAGAAGCTTTCCAGTCACACATCAAGGCGCTTGATAACCATGGAAAAGGTGAAGACATTTGAGGTAAATTATCCTAGTATTTTTTGGATAAATTCTGGAAGAATCCAAAAGAGAATTTTCTAGTTTTCCTGTAATTGAGTTTGAAGTTCAAGAGTTTTGTGACATTTGGTGAGATTTAGAGGGTAGGAATTGGATATAGAAGTTAAATAGCAGAGTAGAAATAGAAGTCGACTTTAACTTCTCATCTTTGTCACGAATGCAGTTAAACAAAGAAAAACAGCACACTTAATTAAACAACTATTGTCTAACTAGCAATCTACTAGTTACCGTTTTTCCTCCAAAGCAGAACCTACTTGATTGAAGACTATTCTGCAAAGAAAAAGTCACTTTATATAATGGACAAAGTCATTTTCTCTCATCTGTTAGGACTCAATGCATGTGCTCTTTCTGACACACACACACACACACACACACACACACACACACACACACAATTCTTGAGAAGAACAAAACATCTGTTATTTCATATCCAGATCAGAATTGATATGAATAATGCTTCATAATGAAGCTTAATTAAATCTACAACATGCTCCTTCAGCTATACTTATCTGGATTGACAACCACAGCTTTCCAAAATTCACTAACCTTGAGTGTGTCCCATCTTTGTTTTTGATCTGTACAATAAGCAGGAAAGAACAGTGTTACTGCCCGAAGATTTTGTCATACTCACCTCTACTCTGCATTTGATTTTTTTCATCTGATTTACAGCTTATGGATTCTTTCACAGTAATGAAAACTAATATTTGTAAAGTGCTTTTTGAATATATTATTATAGACTTCTTGTTTTTGTCCTTTGTCCTTTTAATTTCCATTTGCTATCTGTCTCTAATTTAGACTCTTACTATCATATACCTCGTTTGTTCTGGTTGTTTCCTAAATTATCTTTTCCATTTTTCACACCTCTAGTTCTTAACTGTTAAATGACTTTCTAAAACACTGCATCCATTATGTTACTTCTTTATGCACAAACTTTAGTGATTTATTTTAATTACTAAATAAGATTCAGTGTGACATAAAGTTTCTTCATTAATCAGGCTTCAGTATCGGGGCATTTCAGAACATGAAGTTATTTATGTATATAAATAGTTGATTTGTGTTCACTCAGGAACGGGGTTATATGTGTGTGTTTACATACATATATATGTATAGGTAAATGAGATATAATTAATATAAGTGGTTGTCTTTTTTTTTTTAAATGTTTATTTATTTTTGAGACAGAGAGAGACAGAGCAATGAACGGGGGAGGGTCAGAGAGAGGGAGACACAGAATCTGAAGCAGGCTCCAGGCTCTGAGCTGTTGCACAGAACCCGATGTGGGGCTCGAATTCACGGACCGTGAGATCATGACCTGAGCCGAAGTCGGACGCTTAACTGACTGAGCCACCCAGGCGCCCCTAAGTGGTTGTCATTTTTAAAACAACAGAATTTTATATTGAAATGATAGATATTCTTGGGGTGGCATCTTGTACTTGTTATATTTATGTTGTACTTATTCAGCATATTCTTGAAATTTTTAGATTTACATTTAAAGAAATAAACAGTTATTTTGCTATATAGTGACACTTTGCTTTTCTTTGAATTTTATTACTGGACTTTGGTGCTCACATTTTATAGCAGACCCATCACCTAATTGTTGTTTTTTGGAAATCAAATCCTGTTCCAAGATTGATGATCTACCATTGAATATTTAAAACATTAGGCAGATTCAGAAATTCTAAAAGAGGGGTTTCCATATTGTTTGGCACAATGACAACATTCCGAAGTGACAGTTTTTTTGATGGGTAAAATGTATTTGGATATACAATAGAAATCCTCTTAACCAACCTCCATGGCAAACTCCATTGATTGTCTAATACTGGCCATTTTTGTCCTAAAACACCAGCACCTATGCCTGTAACATGTTGCATACTTCCAACTGGTGAGTTGCTTGATCTCTACTATATCTCTATGCTTCTGTACCTACCAGCTGAGTTGTCTGTATTCCATGAGCCAGTTGTGTTTGTTTTGTGAGTTGTTTATGCTGGTTATATTTGTTATGGTAATTATGTGATGTAATTAAATGCTAGTTATTCCAGTGAAGTGTGAGTGTGAGAATAAAGTTGTCGTTTCTATAAAAGCTAAGTGGAATACTTTAGAAAGATGGGATAAAGTGAGTTGCTAAATAAAACTCTTGGACTGGGAATGGGTGAGATGAGTATAAAAGGTTAGAAAAAAGCTATCCGAATCTAGGTTTCTGTACCCAGATTGCTTTGTAAGAGTCTTTAAGTTCTTGCATCATTTTACAGAAGCCAAAACTAGAAATCTTTGTAGGAAATCTTTGATTCTATATCAAAAGATTGATAAATGAATATACAGTTTTTCAAGTTAAGATATTCAGTATTTTTACAGAGCATTTTTATTTTTTTCCTGCTTTTACCAACTTTTTCAGTGAACTATGTGTTAGTCTGCTTGGGCTGATATAGCAGGATACCACAGACTGAGTGGCTTAAATAACTGAAGTTTATTTTCTCAGTTCTGGAGGCTGGAAGTCTGAGGTCAAGGTGCCAGCGGGTTTGGTTTCTGATGATGCCTGTCTTTCTGGGCTGCAGACAGCCTCCTTCTTGCTGTATCCACTGTGTGTGTATATTCTTGGTGTCTGTCTCTACTTACAGGGACATCGGCCCTGTTGGGTTAGGACCCTACCCTTCCCATGTCCTTTAACTTTAATCATCTCCTTTAAGGCCCAGTCTCCAACTACAGTTATTCTGGGAGTAAGGGCTTTAGTATATGAGTTTGGGGGGACACAATTCCATCCATAACTAACAGTTATTAGTATCTATCACAGTGAATAAAATGCCTGTTGTATGTTAGAATCTGCTTTTTTCATGCTGTCTCAGTCAGTTCTCATGTATATGTTTGTCTTTTAGTATTTTGAAGGAAGTAAGGCATTTGATAAATTAGTAACACTGCAGCTCTTAGAAATCACAGCACTTAATGTAATTATTTGAGTTACTAATTATAGTAATAGTAACTAACATTTATGTGCCAGGCACATGAGTAATACATGTAAAAAATAGAAATATTATCTGTGGATTTTATAGTTGTAAGTCTTGATGTTAGAAAGTAAAATGAATGACATCAGCATTCTTTTTGGCCTCCATAAATAGTACTTGGACCATATAATGGTTATGATGGCCTGAAACATTGTTCAGAGGAAAATATAGAGAAAGGATTCTTTAATCATTAATGGGGTCACATAATAAACCAGTCATTTCTGTGTTTTTTTTTTCTTTTTCTTTTGACTTGTTTTGTTTTTTTAAATTTACATTCGAATTAGTTAGCAATGCAAATTAGTGCAACAATGATTTCAGGGGTAGATTCCTTAGTGCCCCCTACTCATTTAGCCCATCCCCTCTTCCACAATCCCTCCCGTAACCCTCAGTTTGTTCTCCATATTTATGAGTCTCTTCTGTTTTGTCCCCCTCCTCGTTTTTATATTATTTTGTTTCCCTTCCCTTATGTTCATCTGTTTTGTCTCTTAAAGCCCTCATATGAGTGAAGTCATGTGATTTTTGTCTTTCTCTGACTGACTAATTTCACTTAGCATAATACCCTCCAGTTCCATCCCCGTAGTTGCAAATGGCAAGATTTCATTCTTTGTGATTGCCAAGTAATACTCCATTGTATATATATACCACACCTTCTTTATCCATTCATCCATCGATGGACATGTGGGCTCTTTCCATACTTTGGCTATTGTCAATAGTGCTGCTATAAAAATGGGGTTGCATGTGTCCCTTCGAAACAGCACACCTGTATCCCGTGGATAAATGCCTAGTAGTGCAATTGCTGGGTCGTAGGGTAGTTCTCTTTTTAGTTTTTTGAGGAACCTCCATACTGTTTTCCAGAGTGGCTGCACCAGCTTGCATTCCTATCTTTTTTTTAAATGTTCTTTTTCTTTTTTTTCTTTTATTTAAATTTATTTACTTATTTTTGAGACAGAAAGAAAGAGAGAGCAAGCAGAGGAGGGGCAGAGAGAGAATCCTAAGGTCATAGTGCAGAGCCCGATGCAGGGCTTGAACCCACAAACTGTGAGATCATGACCTGAGCTGAAACCAAGAGCTGAAACCATTTAACCGACTGAACCACCCAGGTGCCCGACCAGTCATTTCTATCTTAATGGCAAAATTGAGACCTGTTGTCAACAATGTCACATTTGCTTTCCTGTAAGTTTAATTTATTTAAGAAAATCTTTTTTCCAGTATTTTTTATCAGATTTATAATATTTCTCTAAGCAGTTTATTTGATGCTTGGAAGAAGAAATAAAGAATGATCTAAGGATGTTTCTGACAATCTTCTACATAAAAATGATAAATAAAGGCACTCACCTTAGATATTTTTAAACCTATAAAGGCAGTGTTAATTTTTGTTTGGTTGTTTTTATTATTTTACTCATGTCCTTTCCAAATTTATTTAAAAAAATAAGGGAAAAGCCTAATGCTCAAGTAATTTTTTGAAAGTCTTCATTTTATTTATTTTTTAAAATGTTTACTTATTTTGAGAGAGAGCATGTGTACATGTGAGTGTGGGAGTGGAGAAAGAGAATCCCAAGCATGCTCACACTGTCAGCACAGACCCTGACACAGGGCTCGAACTTGTGACCTGAGCCAAAATCAAGAGTCAGATGCCTAACCAGCTGAGCCACTCAGGTGCCTTGAAGCAGTCTTCACTTTATAAGATCAAATTTGATCAGTGAGTTTTAACTCGTATGCAGTGTACTATAACTGAAAATACTTTGTCATGTTAAATTAATCATTTGGTTTTTAATTAATCACTTCATTTCTACGTTCTGTTTGTACGAAGAGGACTGTGTATAATTGCAGCAAGATCCTAGTCCTTTATAATGCAAGTGATGACATAAAATTGTCAAACTGTTCTCATATGCATCTAACAAATTATTCTCAGTCTTGTTCAGCGTTGTTGATTTTGGCAATGAAAGACTTAATTGTAGATTTTTATACTCT